CTATGCAGGACTTGATGCTCATTACGTTCACATGCTTCAGCTGTTTCAGAGAAGATGTGCATGCACTGCATATTTATCACCAAGACTGTTAATCTTTTGCAGTGTGTCTTAAACAGCAGTGTAGTATTATAACATCACACTATGCTTCTGGATTTATTTTGTTAATGTATGTACTGGTACCTAAGAGAAGAAAGAAGGAAATTCTATATCTAGGGAGGTGCATTTATGGTAAGTGCACCTGCAGCCTTGATTTGCACAAGGAGGCTGCATGGTTGCATTATGAAAGACACAAAGCCCTTGTGGTACTGTGGTACTCAGGGATGCAGACCTCTCCATCATCTTCTAAGGCAACCTGTTAATGTTTCCAATTCAGTGAAATGATGGAAAAATGAAATTTAAATCCTGACTGAATGTATATATTAGAGATTTTCCTTTTCAAAGTGCATCTGCCTCTTCCTTTGTGTTTTGATTTCTGCCCTTGTCAATGCCAAGTTCTGTGTTCTCTATTACATTTTTACCATCCAGCAATTTGAGTGGCAGATAATTAACATACACAAGGATGATGCAAAGCAGATTTGCCCTGCATCGTCTCCTTTACGGAGATAATTTTTCAGTTGTCTTTTCAGAAATATCTTTTGGGGCCCTAAGAGGAGGATCACAGGAGGGACATATGTTCTTAATCTCAAAGTATGGGTACATGGCACCTATAGAGGTATGGTGCAATTACATCCATAGTTCCATTGTACTTGCTCATCAGTAAGTCTAATATGTTCCCTGCAAGGAGATGGCCTTTGCTTGGTATGACAATGTGCATCTGAAACAGAACAAATCTGAAATCAACAGATGAGAGGTTAATCTAGAACCATACAACATACATTCATGTAAATGGTACCTAATTTTGCTTTTTAACAATATGTGATATGTATTAGAAAACCTTAACTTTTTTTTTTTTTTTGGAGGATTTGTATTAAGCTCATACTTCACTTCATTACTGAATATAAAGCTAGCCTTTCAGGGGAAATAGCTGCTAGCAAGCTGATCCTTTATTAGTATTACTACTTAATATAAATATTTAATGTTTAATATGATTGTTATTGTTCTTTAATTATACTTAATTAATTTGTCCTGGGATCATTTCAGTAGGGGTATTTCTGTTGTTATCTTAGTTTGTTGGGGTTTTTTAAATTATTATTTATTTAATGTTTATTTTGAAAGATTATTTTTCAATCCTCAGGATTCTGGGGAAATATGGGGAAATACTGCTTTGGCAAATGGTAGTCTTGCAACTGTTCTATCTCTGTGGCAAAGAAAATCCACCTGAGTACCAGGATTTTAGTTAGTGGTGTAAGTCTTGTTAAAAGGTAGCCTATTTCTCATTCCTTGGTCATAAAGTATTAATAGAGGTGTTATTGAACTATGTATACTCTCCTTTAAATAGTTTCAGTTGCATATTAATGTGTTTTCTTGTACTACATTAGCAAATGAGAGTCACAGTTAAATAATCTATGCTCCTTCTTTTGCAATAGGCTAAGAAATGGGTCCATAAATAACGGAAAATATTAGCTGAACTGTAAAAATTGAAAAATGTTTGAATGACTGATTTGTCTCCTCTTACTCCAGTTAGCTGTTGAATTTCTTGCCACCACTCATCGTGCAGGCAATGCTGCGCGTGGCTGCATGTTGATATGGACTAGGGAACTGAAGTAACTGTCAATTTATGTTTTAAGGTCTCCACTGCCATGAGTTTCTTTCTTTGTTGTTGTTACCTTTAACAGAAAAGTAGAATGCAACTCTCTTGAACTTTATAGATTGGACAAGTTTCATTAATAAATTGTGTGTGTGTGACCTTTCAGATTTTTAACATGAGTTTTGGAAGATTTTACAAATTAAGTAATTTTTAAAGTAAATATAGAAACCTGCTAACATGTACCATTGGTTTGCATATTTTCTGCCAATGGACACTCTGTTATTTTCCTAGTGACTAAATCATTCATGTTGCAAGTTTATAAAAACATGTGATTGTATTTGTCATCAAATACTGTTTTTCTTATTTTTATCTCAAACACACAAATGCATCCTGAATGACAAAAGTCAATCCATACATGTTTTCTCGCTCATTTTGTTGGAAAAATATCTTAAGCTGGAATAGGTTTTATTAAAATTGCATCAGTCTAACACATAAAATCACTTGATTGAATTAACACTTCAATTAACAGCTGCTTGATTTTATTCTGGTCTTTGAATATGGCAGTAGCAGAGCCTTTGGCAGTTTTCAACTTACTTCGATTTCTTTTTAGGAAGGAGTGTCATTGTAAATCATTTAGCAGATGAAATTAATAACAGAACCCCTAACATTACTTCCTTCTGTAGTAATGACATGTTCTAATTGCTTATAATGTAGCAGTTCTTGACTATACGGAGCTTATGGGCAGAAAACAGGCTCTTCAGAAAAAATAATGTTCAGCTGTAGAGAATTCCCTGTTAAGTGTTCAGGGGAATGAAATTGCTTTCTCTACAGTTTGACATTTAGATTGATGTATTGTAGCTTCGTTTCTAGACGTGCCACTCAGAAATACCCTCAAAGTTTTAGGAGGTTAGCTTGTAAAGTAGTTGAGCTCTTAAAACCTATTAAAAATTGAATTTGCCAGTACTCCAAAGATGTTAATCTCTTCTTATATCAGAATCCATCATGGAAAATAGATGAGAACCTTGGATCTTTTTGAAATTTGGCAGTGCATTCTGCATTACTACCAGCAGATAATAACTCCATCTCTTACGGCTGCTTACATTACTTTTTAAAGGATCTTGTTGTTAATTGCTTGAAACTTTGCCAAGCTGTAGCAGGTTGGGCTGGAATTTTCCACTTAACGAAAAGAAAAGGGCAATATGGATTCCTCATTTCCTGTATGCTAAATGAAGCAGAGGCCTCTGGGAAAAATAGTATGCAATCAAATAATTAAACATTCTGCCATAAAAAGTACAGCTAGGGAGAGGAGTTGAGGGGAGCATATAGCTTGACTTCTGGCTTCTTCCATCCTTTCAACACTTGACTTCATGACTTTATTTTGTGCATAACCAAGGTATAATGTTATGTCACTTATTTGTGAGTGCTGACATAGTGGAAAAAAATGCATGTGACGTTGATATCCCTGAACTTGATCCTGGCTTTTGGCAAGTGTTCGTAGTCTTTCGGGGTTTCTTTCCTGTTTGGATTTTTATTTTTTAATTTGGCTTGGTTTTTTTTGAAATTGTTCTTCTAGTTTGGCCCTAACCAGCAATAGAATGCCTTGAGTACTTCTGAGACTGAAACATCAGCTACTTGTGTGTATGTAATCAGATATCCAAGACCAGTGCATGAGTACAGAATGCTCTATATATTCTTGAGTTAGAAATCCTGGTCTGCTAGATTTACAGACTTGCACCCCTTTTTGGAAAAAATCTATTTGCTCATAAAATTCATATTGGCTTCCCTTAGCTTTGGCTCAGTGTGTCTTCTGACTCTACATCACACTTATTTTATCTGCAGGCTCTGGTTTGGTCATTTTGTACACACTGCACCCTAACTTCTGAAACTCAAACTTATGTGCCACATTTTGCCTGGCATTCCAATCCTCTGGTGACAAAGAATGCAAAAAAAAAAAAAAATCTAACTGGATCTAGTCAAATTTTTTTCATCAAGAAAATCCTCCATAGACCCTGTAAATACTCAAGATAAACTGTCTCTCATGATAAGAGAGCATGTTGGTGGTATCATTTTCTCTGAGTTTTGGGTGTGGTAGTTGGCTTCAAGCTCGAATAAAGGACATTGGTCATTCTCTCTCTCCCTGATGTCCTCACAGCTATTAATTTCCTTGTAATGTGGAACTGGGAGCAGTGACTCACCTGGAGACAACCTTTGTCAACTTCTACTTGGGTCAGCTGTGGTCCTCTCTTGATCCTCCAGTGGTAGCACTGGATAAACTGACTTTATAATTTTGGGAAGATACTTAACCATCTATTTGGAATGAATTAGCTGGTGAGATAATGGAATCCTGACTCTCCTTGTAGGCATTTTCAGTCTGTCATTGGCTTGGGCAAGGGCACATTTATGTCCAGAGTCCTTGAGAGCTGTGTAAATGCAGGGTATTAATCTGAAAGCTGCTGGTATTCACCATTACATTACTTTGATATTGCTTATTTCCAACTTTTGAGAAATTTGGTGGTTTGCTTCTTGGAGAAAGAGCCTGTCTTTCTCTGTATACTAAATTCTTTCTCAGAAACTTCAAGACTACAACTATCGGTACCACAGTATATGGTTTTCTGACATCCCATTCATTTGTTGCTCTTCAACATTGCCTGCCTCGGCCTCTCACAGTAAACTATTTCACTTTGAAAAATGTCTAATTTTGGTCATTTCATACACGACTTCTTAAGAGTAGCAATTTTTAAATTATGGATGCTATATTCTAATTTAAACTAATTGTGGCAGATGACCTAATTTAACTACGTTCAGTGATTACGGTTTTTCAGTGTCTTTCCCCTCCCTCCAATACAGTTTCAGGATTTTTTTCTTAACCTTTCCTAATTTTCAAAAAATCTAGGTTTGTAACATATTATGATTATATGCAAACACTTTCTGTGTTCTCCCTACCGTTCCATGCTATGCAATGTAGACTGATGGAAAAAGAGTAACTTTTCTATAGTAGATGTGATAAAATTTCTGTTACCTTGAGACTTTTGTCTGAAACTTAGCAGCTGGAGCTCTCTCTTGCAATTCTGTTCCAACAAGACTTTAATCTCAACCATGCTCTTTCAGCCGTAATAAGGACATAACTCAATCTCCTCACTCAAGTGTCAGTAAGGCTTTTTTTTATATGTGTGTCATTGCAGGTGTTCAAAGCACTTCACCTTTTTCAAGATCTCTGCCCATTTAATACATAGCAAATTATAAATGAGATAATAAATTATGGAAGCCTTGAGAATTTTTAGTTATTCTCACTAGCATTTGTTTCACCCTGTAGGAGAAGCCTATATGAGAATGAGCCGGCTGCCAGAAGCAGAGCACTGGTACATGGAGTCACTGCGATCCAAGAGCGACCACATCCCAGCCCATCTCACCTATGGAAAACTGCTGGCTGTGACGGTGAGTTAATCAGCAGCTCCTGGGAGCTGGTCCCAGGCCCTTTGAGCAGATGAGGTAAAGGGATGGGAAGAACTTAGCCTGAAAATTGTTCATTGTCCTATTTGTCACACTATTTCAGTCATGCCTTCTAATTAAGGATTTTGACAGCGTTGTTTTTTTGTGAAACATTACATCCATTCCTGAAATATCACCACCTCTGTGCCAGAAGAAAATATTTATAATAGCATAGGAACTTTATAACATATAGTAAAGAATTCTCTCGTTGAAAAAGCCTTTATTGTACGTAGTTTACATCACAAGTAATGATATTAATACAAAAAGATATTCAGTCTTTGACCCAGGGTTGTTGTAGCAGCTTATGGCAGAGCTATACTTTGTGAATTACGTCTCATGCTTTGAATTTGCACTTCTTTAAGAGTATCTCTTTGAGCATGTGAAATGCGCAACTACTAAGAGCTAGTTCTAAAAAAATCAAGAGTTGGACTTTCTTATGTCTTCAAAATTTACTTTGCCTTTGAGTATAGATGAGCTTGTAGCTCCGGCTAAACTAGCCCCATATGATAGTTACAGCAGAGCGCCAGTCCCTCCTTGATTTTCACACATTTTGAGCATGAAAATGGATTTCTATTCTATTCACTAAAATAATTCTATTTTAAAACTGCTTTTCACTGTTTTGCATTTCTCATTCCCATTTTTCTGACCATATTCTCTTTCCTGTTTATGTCTTCTACATTTGCTTTCATTGTTCACTGTAGCAATCCCATATTTCCTTTCTATGCTCTATGATATGCCTTTGTATGGCTCTTCAGTCCCTGTGCCTTAGTCTGAATATCTTCCTCAACTTTTCACCTAGCTGTAAGCTTTTATTCTGACCTTGCCTATGCCCTGTCCAGTCTTCGTGCAAATGTCCTTGGACACAGGGTAGAGGTCCAGTGAAGAAAAATAGTTCATAATTAATTTTAGCAGATCCATTGCTGCTAAAAATATCTGAATTTGGAAAAGGGGGAGAAATTAGAATGGAAGTTTTCTATGTGAGTAACAAGTGACAACCTAATTGGAAAGAATTAAAAGTTGTTCAGTGTTATCATGGATGGGAATTTTTAGCTTGTGATTGAAGTCAAGATGATAATGTTTCCAGGCCTTGGGAAGGCAATTTTTTTTGCTACAATTTCCAGTTACAGTTAAAATTTCTTGGATATTGACAAATACATGCACTCACTGATTACATTCCTCTGGGATAGAACTGCAAGTAGGTTATACACCAAAATTTCCTAGTTTACCTTGCTTTTCTGGTAGATATCTTCATATCTTGTACCTAAGAATAATAGGAGAAAGTCAACGTTATTGGTTTCTTCTTTGACACAAAGTTCTAATTTATTGGAATTGCTGTGGGGAAAGAAAAATTTTTCTCAATTAAAATCCAAATATATTTTGATTTTTTTTTCTTTTTTTCTTCTTTTCTATTCCACACTCTGCCTCTTACCCCAGTACTCCTATGGTTAATTTTGCACATTTTGTGAACTGCTGAGTATACAAAAGATGAGGTCTGCTGGGGGAAGTCTTGAAGTTGTTCTGGAAACAAGGTCTCACAATTTTCTTCAAAATAATAATATAAAAAAAAATCCCCAAATCCCATAACTCTATACAAACATTGTGAGCCACTAAAAAGAAATTTTTAATTTTGTTCCTTCAAAAAGGAAAGTTCAGGTATAGGATTAAACATTAGTGGAATACCCTAACTTTGGGAACGAAGTGATGAAAAATATGTGCAAATCCTTATAGCACAACTGAACTGTTTACTTTTCTTCAGGGATATAAATGCAAGATACACATGGGGTGGACTGTGCCTTGAGGATCTGAACTATGTTTGTGGAAGAATATGTATAATTAACCAAAAAGACAGGAGCTATATACAATTTCGAACACCGTATACTGCACCGTGATAGACAATAAAGTACTCTGCCTATCTGTTCTCAGTGCAGTCTTGCTTACCTATACTTGCTCTGTTCCGTAAGTGTAATCTATTCTCAGCACATTTGTTTGTTATCATCTCTTGATACTTTTTTCTTTTATTATTGTTGCTTCTTCTCATATTCATGGCAATATGTACAGTTAGGGTTCATGTCCATTCTATTAACAGTAGCATAAGCTGAAAAGACGGGGCTGATGTCCTGTTGGCTTGTAGTGACATAGGACTTTATAACCACATAACAAGGCAACATGTTGATGACAAAGTAATTAGAGATGGCAGAAAATTTTTCAAGTGGTTATTTCATTTGTGGAAAAAAAAGTTCATTTACCTTTGATCTATTGAAATTTGGCATTTATTTAATTTAATTCTTTCAGCTACGAAGTCTGAAAAGACATTCAGTAGGAAAATGGATGGTGATGAGATTTGGCAGCAGAATATGGATTTTTGTCTCCATGTTGGTCACTTATCCTTAATCAGTTTTGCAGCCTACCATCTGCTCAGTGACTCACATTAGATGAATTTTGTCTAGTTTCTAGTATACCGAACTGTACTAGTATTAGTCCCCATCACAAGTATATGATTGCTGTAACTTATATGCTTCCCGGAAGTCTACACAGACCTCCTTGGGATTCAGTAGCATTAGAGATGCTCCCTTTGGCACAGTTGTTTCAGCCCATAGCTAACTTGAGGTACCACTGTGATTTATTCTTCTGTTAAACTTTGCTACCTAGGCTCATGATCATTTTCTCACAGCCTGTATATTTAGGAGAAAGAAAAGCCTACTTCAGTTAGTTTTCAGATGTTAGAGGAGAGATGTTTTAGAGGCTGCTTTCCCCTCATCTGCTGGAACCAAACCTTCAGCCTTTTGGCAATCCTCTTTCTGAATAGAAGTGCTGAGAAAAAACTATTGATCACACTTCTTTCTGTCTCTTTTCCAGAGGAGAAATGTGATGAAGTGAAGGGTGGAAGCTAATATAGATAGAATTTTTTTTTTTTTTCTATCAGTGAAATTGGGGGATGAGGGAGGAGAGGAGGAAGGTTTCGGGCAAGTTCCTAAGTTCCAGCCAAAGACAATTCTAGTGTAAAGACCAATAGCAGTAAAGTCAAACCCGTAAAGTTCACAAATTCGGCTATGTTTTACTTCCTGACTTAAATTCCAGTGACGTGGCTTAATTTTAACCCCAGCCTTTCTGCCTTCTCAAGTTTGTTGCCAGTATTATGCTTACTAAAAGCAGCATGACATGATTCATTTAATGCCTTAGTGCCAGTCTGGATACCTGGACTGCCTTCTTGTACCTTCTGTTTTCTTTGCCTTCCCATAAGGAATGGTGAGGGCAACCTATGCCTGCTGTGTAGATCAGAGATTTCCAAAATTGCTTGCCTGTTACGGAAAGCAATTATTATTATCCTTATATTTTATTATCCTATTATCCAATTGTTATCCTTTCTCAACTTTCAGCAAAAGCTTTTAAAAATTCCATGAACAGGGACATAGAAACAAATGAGCGTTCTAGATTGTAAGCTGTTTGTTCTGTTCATGTTGTCCGGCCTTGGTTCTGTCAAATACAAACTAGGAACTACATATGTTTTCTAAATTCACAATGACCTGACCTGTGCCTGTCTTTTCTTTTTCTTTTTTATTTCAATATGGAGTTCCACAGCACATTAAAAATAAAGCACTATATACTAGATGACTTTATTAGCTGTGCTATGAAAAATAAGTTTGGGGGTTTTTTTTTATTATTTCGACCTTAAACATTAACCTGCATGAGCAATGTAGTCTAAATAAAATGTTAACTCTACTTTGAGCAAGGGATTGGACAGGATGATATCTCTTGAGATACAAGAAATGCCAGGTGGACTTGGGCATGCTGCTATATATGCAGAAAAAAAACAGACCAACTTAAGAGCTCCAAAGGAATAGCTAATGAATTTACAGCCTTCTTACCTAGTATCATGTCACAAGTATTTCATAACCTTTTATTGGATAATGTTATATGTTCATATCTAAAAATTACAGCTGACTAGGCTACAATTTTCCTGAAAATGTATTAGAACAGCATAATTTAGTGGTTGAAAAGCATGATTAGTAACTCAGCTAGAAGAATAATTGGAAAATAGCCAATTGTCTGGAGCTTAAGTTTGTGCTTTTCTTTTTTTTATTATTTTTTTTTCCAAAACAATGTAACTGTTTAGAACTGCAGTGCTTTAGCATTATGTATTTCCAACTGCTTTTCATATCTTTAACTTGTTAAGCTGCATAAATTACTTGAGAAATTTATTTGTCAATGTGACATGTTAGTTGACCTAGCCAATCTCCTGGTAGCACAGGAGTTTGGTACCACAGTGTCTGAGCCTCATCCCTTGCTTAGGTAATTTATTTCTATATCACAAAGAAAAGCATAACTCTTTGTAAAAGGCTTTAAAATTGCATGGCTCCCAGTTCTAAGATAAAAATGAATCTGTCAAAAATGACAGTGCTAGGTGAGGCCTTGAGCATGTGCGGTAATTCATTTTCCATTTTATGAGCAGACCTTATAGAAGAAAAAGGGTTGGCTATCATGCTAAAAAAAATAATTTAGAAGTAAGGCTTTTAAAATTTTTCTCTCCTCTCATTTTAGTCATTTTAAAGAGAAGACAGAGAAACCCTCCTTCCTAATGGCTGGCCTCTCTGCTGTCAATCAGCGGATGGTTGTTATAGTAGCACACTAGTCTGAGAAGCTTTATTTCAGTTATAAATAAATCTGTTTTGAAGTTCTGATTTATCTGTTTTGAGTGAACTTGAGCTCGCAAACTACCCCTCATAGGTTGCAGTATTGCCTATAATTGCTAAAGTACTTAGGGACAGCCCCATATTGTAACATTTAGTATGTTGCATCTAGGAACTACAGGCTTTGCTGTATTTCTTTGGAAAAAATTGCACAGTGTTTTCTTGCATTTTACACGGCACCACACAGTGCTGTTAATCTCCTATTTTTTACTGGCTTGGAAAATCACCCAAAGTGCTGTAAGAAAAATTTACTTTGCC